AGGGAAAGGGAAAGGGAAAGGGAAAGGGAAAGGGAAAGGGAAAGGGAAAGGGAAAGGGAAAGGGAAAGGGAAAGGGAAAGGGAAAGGGAAAGGGAGCAACTGGAATTTTGCTTCCAGTGTCACACAGACTCAAGCAGGAGCAAGGAGAGCTCAGCTCTGCCACAATCCTGCTGTCCAGGAGCAAGGATACAAAATATTGGGATTTTTCAAATGAAAGCAAGGATAAGGACTCCACAGGTAAAACTCCTGCTCGCTCCAGCTGCTGGAGGGAGGCTGGGACTCCGGGGCAGAGCACGGAGAAGGACTCGCGGGCTGACGGTGCCATCTAGCCGCTGCTCCCGGAGCAGGAATGCTGCGCTGGCCGGGCACTGCGAGCCCTTCCCGGGTCCTGTCCCTCCATCCTTGTCCCCAGCCCCTCTCCAGCTCTCCTGGAGCCCCTCCAGGCCCTGCCAGGGGCTCTGAGCTCTGCCTGGAGCTTCTTCTCTCCAGGGGAACATTCCCAGCTCTCCCAGCCTGGATCCAGCCCTCGCTCTCCTGTTTCCTCCAGTGTGAGGTCACACCTCGAGTGCTGTGCCCAGCTCTGGCCCCTCAGTTTGGGAAGGACCTTGGGATGCTCCAGCACATCCAGAGGAGGCAACGATGGAAATACAAACCCTGTGAGGAACGGCTGAGGGAGAAAAGGAGGCTCAGGGGTGACCTCAGCACTCTCCACAGCTCCTGGAAGGTGGCTGTGCCCACCTGGGGTTGGGCTCTTTCTCCAGGAACCGACAGAACCAGAGGACACAGCCTCAAGCTCTGCCAAAGGAAATAAAGGTTGGATATTAGGAAAACGTTCTTCACAGAAAGAGTGATAAAGTTCTGGAATGTTCTGCCCAGGAGGTGGTGGAGTCCCCATCCCTGGGTGTGTTTAACAAAGCCTGGATGTGGCACCGGGTGCCAGGGTTGAGTTGAGCTGTTGGGGCTGGGTTGGATTTGATGATCTTGTGAATTCTGAGTTCTCCCTGCTATTCCTTTTATCACCGAGGTACTTTAGAAGCATTTTTGTCACCTTTTATGGCTCTGGCCATATTTAATTCCCTCGGGGCTTTATCCTTCCCAGTTCCTGTGTGCTTGGATAAACTCCCTGTATCCTCTCAGGCTGCCTGGCCCTGCTCCCACCCTCTGGAGGTTTCCTTCCTTTCCATGGTTGGGTTTGTCCCTTTCCCTCAGCGTGGCTCCGGAATGCTGGACAGCCCTAAAACCAGTGTCAATCCATGTCCTAAAATCAGCATCACCCCAAGCATCACCTGCAGCCTCCAAAGCACCCCAGGTGGAGCTGGATCCCTGCAGGAATGGGGGAATGTCAGACTGGGAGGATCGGGCTGAAAGCTCAGACCAGAGGAAGGGAACTCCTGACCCAGGAGATTGGGATCCACCTGCGAGAAGGAAAAGAGCCCCAAGATCACCTCCAGGCTGGTGCCACAAACCCAGGAGGATTCCCAGCAGGAATGGGACTGCTTTCCTACAGAGCTCTCTCAGCTTTTCCAGCCTCAGGATGAGCTCAGAAGCCAAAGTTTTCCCCAAAACCTCGGAAATCCCTCCCAGAGCCTGTGACAAGCACAGATTTTATCTGGTGCACAATCCAATGCAATTTAATGGGGTTTCAGCACTGCAAATCCCCTATAAACTCAATTCCAGCAGTTGGAAACTCCTCTCTCCCAAAGCACCACTATCTTTTCCATGGCTCCAAGAAGGATATTTTATTTCCCTACAGGAAACCATTTATTAGTTGTTTATTATTAATGCAAAGTCCTTGAAGTGGATTTTGATTTCACCTGTTCTTTAGGGGAATCAGCCGCTCTTTATAAATCACTTTGCATCCAAATTAAGTTCCAGCTTCACATCCATGAACCTCCAGGGACTGGAGCCACCAGAAACAAAATGCAATTTCCACACTGAGCTCGGGAAATTCAAGGTTTTGGCACCTCATCTTCGTTGTATATTGGGCAATAAATACCTGGTTGAGGCAGCAACGAGGTAAAAAGGAATTACAGCTTGTCCTACACCACCTCCTCCCCAGGCTTAAAAAATGGGAGCAACAAAACAAGGAAAAGGCAATTTCGTAATTTTACAGAATTAGATGCCAACAGAGGAATTTGAATGTTTACAAGGTAATTTAAACATTATTTTAGCATTGGTTTCAATAGAGATTTGTTTTGCAATTACCATCCCCAACAATTTTTTTTTTTTTTATTTTTGTCTTCCAGGAGGGAAAAAAAAGTTGTTCTGGCAGAAATTTGGGGGCCAGATCCTCAGGGCAGCACAGGGAAAACGATCCCAAATCCCTTTTGCCATCAGGAAGGAGCTTTGCTCAGGAAAAAAGGGACAAATATCCACAATCCCCTGCCTGGCTTGAACAGCTCTTAGAATCCAAAGCATCCCAATCCTGCTGCCATTTCCAAGGCTCTCAGTGGTACCCAGCACGGGAGCATCCTCCCGTGTCCAGTGTGCTGGGAAAAACATGGATTTCCCACTGGGAAGCGCCTCAAGCACCTCTGAGGGGCAGCAGAGGAAGGTGCACACAGCAGGGGGAACTGCACAGACCCTGCCAGCACATTTTGCATCCTTGCTCATCTTGTGTTTCTCTGAGGTTTTACACCTCAGTTAAAATCCCCTCTAGAAATTCAGTGTTTTGGTTAAAAAGGCAATGAGGGTTTTCAGAACCACTCTGAAGCCAAAAAAACACAACCCACAGGATTCCCCTCCCTGTGTACATCAACAAAAACGGGGGGAAGCCCAAAATCACCACCAGAGCAACTGAAATTTTCAATTTTTAGTGTAGAAATTCACACTGAGAAGTTCTCTGGTAAGAACCAGGATTTGACCATTTCTCACTCAAAATGAGAGGCCCAACCCTTTTTTGGCTCCCAGATGACGCCAAATCCTCATCCCTGTGCCACACATGGATTTAGCAGGAGGGGGAAGAGCTGCTTCCTCACCATGCAGTGCCCCGTGTCCCTGCCCAGGGCAGGGGACTGGAACAGGATGGGCTTTAAGGGCCCTTCCAGCCCAAACCATTCCAAACCCCATGACATTCCCACAGCCCTTCAGCTTTTGCTATGGGCACAGCTGCGTTTGCTCCCACTCCCTCCTCACCACCTCATGGAATTTACAAGATACCAGAGAGACAAAGCAAATGTCCCTGGGCATTCCCAAAGGATCTGCAGAGCACCCAGCTGGGAGGGAGCAGCACTTGGGACCCCAGGTGTGAGCAGAGCTTTCACCTGTGATCAGCCCCCTCACAGCAGTGGCACTGAATAGCAGAAGAGCATCCAGACACTTGGAATGCCCTTTTAAAGGACTTGGGAAACCTAATTCCAGACCTGTGGTACACTAAAGTGGCTTTAACTCATTCCCTTCAGAGCAGCTGTGGCTGCCCCTGGATCCCTGGAAGTGTCCCAGGCTTGGACACTCCAGGATATGGAAGGCTGGGAAGCTGAGCACTGCAGAGCAGCCCCAGAGCCGCTAAAACCTGCACAGAAGGGAAACACGCACTGTCAGCTGGGTTAGGACAGCATTTATTAGGTAAGGCTGAGCCGAGTCGCTGGAGACACGTCAGGGATGCTCTGGGACGCCCCGGTGGCTCCTGGCTGTCGCCTCATCCTCCCGGCGCTCAGTCCAGCTGCAAGAGAGCAGAGACACGGGGAGTCAGCGGCAAGCGGCACGGCCGAGCCGCCTCCCGCAGCCGCGGGGCTCACCTTGATGAACCCGATGTCCTTGGCGTACTGGCGGAAGCACTGCCGGCACATGTTGAGCCCGTACTTGCGGATGAGGCCGTGGCGGTTGGAGCACACGCGGCTGTGAGGGGAACAGAGAGAGGCGCGTGAGGGCGGGGAACGGCGCCGGGAAGGAGGAGGAAGAGGCAGGGGGGCTGAATGTGAAGGGAAGGGGAACGACGCGGCAGCACTGACCACGAGCGGGAGCCCTGCCCGAACTTCCTGGGGTGGCTCCAGTAGAGCTGCTGGTGGCCCATGGCTGCGCGGCGCCGAGAGGAAGATGGCGGCGGCCGCCCGCCCTTAAAGCCCTCACGGCGCCTCCCGGCGTGCACCGCCCGTGACGTCACGCAGCGGGGGCGGCCCGCGCTTTTTCCCCGCCCGTGACGTCACGCAGCGGGGCGGGGCGGCAGCGCCCGCCCCGTGACGTCAGCGCTGCACACAAGCCGAATGCGCTGCGTGGCGAGCTGCGAGCGCCGGGCGCGGTGGCGCACGCCTGTAGTCCCAGCTGCCGGGGAGGCTGAGCCCGACGGATCGCTTGAGCCCAGGAGTTCTGGGCTGCCGTGCGCTGTGCCGAGCGGGCGTCCAAGCTAAGGCCGCCATCAATATGGTGACCCGCGGGGAGCTGCGGGACACCAGGTTGACTAAGGAGGGGTGAACCGGCCCAGGTCGGAGACGGAGCAGGTCAAAGCTCCCGTGGCGGTCAGTAGCGGGATCGCGCCTGTGAATAGCCACGCCAGCGTAGCCTGGGCAATACAGAGACACGCGGGCTCCTCTTTTGCCTCTCCAACCACACAAACCCCCACCCCAAAACACAAACACCCCTTCACCACCGCAAACACACACACAAAAACACCGCCTCCTATTGACACTCATCACTAACAACACCGCCACGCTGCATTGCGCTGCTCACTGCCACAAGCCAATCTCAAACACTAATCCCGATCTCAAATAATGCACCTCCACAAACACTCAGCGAAGACCTCCCCGAGTTTATTTTTTTTCTCCCAATGCCACTTAATGCGCTCAAAGCATGACGGCGCCGACACCGACACCAAGCCTGACCTAAGCCTTCCTGTCGCTCACGGAGCATCAGCTGCTGCTTCACACCCACCTGTGCTCGGATCGTGTCCCCTCAACTCCTGTGTCCCCTCAACTCCTGTGTCCCCTTAACTCCTCTGTGTCTCCTCATCTCTGTGTCCCCTCAGCTCCCGTCTCCCCTCTGCTCCTCTGTGTCCCCTCAGCTCCTGTGTCCCTTCAGCTCCCGTCTCCCCTCTGCTCCTCTGTGTCCCCTCAGCTCCTGTGTCCCGCACTTCTGTGTCCCTTCAGCTCCCATGTCTTTTCAGCTCCCATGTCCTCTCAGATCCTGTGACCCCTCAGCTCCCCATGTCCCCTCAGCTCCTCTGTGTCCCCTCAATTCCCATGTCCCCTCACCTCCTGTGTCCCCTCACCTCCAGTGTGTCCTCTCAGCTCTCCTCTGTCCCCTCAGCTCCCATGCCCCTCACACCCACCGTCCCTTCCACTCCTCCATGTCCCCTCCAAGTCCTTACACAGAATTCTCTGGCCCTTCCTCTGCTCCCTCTTGCTCCTCACACCCATCTCCCCTCTAACCCCTCTTTTCAATGCTAACATGTCACCGTGTCATTTATGCTTCACTTGATGTTCATGGAAAACTATATTTTATGTCATGCTTGGACATGACTGTGGATTAGGTAGGTGGGAACTGGGGATTAGATGAGTAGATTTATGTAAACTTTAGTGTGTAAATATTTTTTTTATTCCCTGGCGTGCTTCATTTGTGGACAATTTCCACCTTGCACCCTGCACAGAATAAACAGAGTCTTTCTAAACCTGACTTGTTGTTTAGAATCCCTAAGATTTGGCAACACCCTCAGCTCGTCTGTCTCCTCATCTCTGTGTCCCTTCAGCTCCCGTGTCCCCTCATCTCCCGTGTCCTCTCTCAACTCCCCATGTCCCCTCACCCTACATGTCCCTTCACACCCTCCATGTCCCCTCATCCTTCACGTCCCCTCACACCCCGTGACCCCTCAGCTCCTCCATGTCCATTCACACCGTGTTCTTCACACCTTTGTGCCCCCTCACATCCTCAGCATCCCCTTGTATCCTCAATGTCCCCTCACAATCCATGTCCTCTCATACAACCATGTCCACTCACATCCCATGTCCTCTCAGCTCCTCCATATCCCTTCACGCCCCGTGTCCCCTCACGCCCCGTGTCCCCTCACATTTCTATGTCCCCTCACACTCCGTGTCCCCTCACCCCCGTGTCCCCTCACTCCCTCAGTGTCCCCTCACACTCAGTGTCCCCTCACAATTCCATGTCTCCTCACCCCCTCAGTGTCCCCTCACCCCCGTGTCCCCTCAGTGTCCCCTCACGCTCCATGTCCCCTCACCCCCGTGTCCCCTCACGCTCCATGTCCCCTCACCCCCTCAGTGTCCCCTCACCCCCGTGTCCCCCTCACAATTCCATGTCCCCTCACCCTCCACCTCCCCTCACCCCCCGTGCCCCCCCCCCCCCCATGTCCCCTCATCCCCTCAGTGTCCCCTCACCCCCTC